TTATCTGAGCCACTAGTACTCAGCCTCTCTGTTTTCTGTTAGTGTGTGTGTGTGTGTGTGTGTGTGTGTGTGTGTGAACTGGAAAGTGAGTGTATTTTCAACTTCTTCACGCTTCACAGATTTGAATTAATGCATATCAAAATAAGCTTGAGTTTGTACTTTCTGCTCTATAACTGACCTCTAAACATGACCGAGTCCACCTCTTGTCTCATCTGCCAGGGCTGCAAAGTACGGTGACACCGCAGATGAGTGTGGCGAGGCCTTCTTCCTATGTGGGAAGTCCCTGCTAGAGCTTGCCAGGTTGGTTCATTTAATTGCTCACTTTGAAAACTCGTTTATGTTCAGTTCAGTGTTACTTTAGGTTGTTGCAGGGTTGATTAATGTTGCTTCTCTGTGTTTGCGTTCTTTGGACTTGCTTCTCCCATTAGCGGTGTCTCTTTACTTTGGCTGTCTTGATGGTCTTTTTGTTTGTTAGGATGGAGAACAGCGTCCTTGGTAATGCTTTGGAGGGAGTCCCAGAGGAATCTGAGGAAGAGGAGCAGCCTAATAACTCCAACATTGAGAGTGCCAACAATCTTAATGGTCAGTATTAAATATTTTTCTGTAACTACAAAGAGAACTGATTATGGGAACCAGTTCAAAAGTAACTTCAAGTGGCTGTCATGTTTTAGTCTTATTTAATTATTTTTAGAGATAAAAATAACTTTATTTTGAAATAATGCTCTCTCATTCTGATTCCCTAAATGGCAAAATTAATGAAATGGTTCATTAAGTTCTAGTTTTGTTGATCGACAAAGTGGTGTGTATGTAGCCTCAAATATGTATTTTCTTAAATCCAGTTCTGGTAAAACACCAGCCTTCGATTTGTAATAGTTTTGGAGCCGTTAAGAAGCCAAACAACAACTTACTGTTAGTGTCAGTGTTTCCTGTCACCTCTGGCTCAAATGCAAGGCGGTTATTGAGTTTCCCTTCTGTGTCCAGTCATAAAAACTGACCTTTCGGTTTTAAAAGATGCTATTTAATGTGAAACCATTTTTCACATGCCGCTCTGGTACAGACGAAACTAGAGATGAGCTACGAAAGCAGGTGTATGACGCAATGGCGGAGAAGGATAAGACTGAGGCAGGCGAGCTGGAGTCTGAGGATGGACAGGGCGACGCTGAGGTGAAAGAGGAAAATGGTGTGGCAAAGTCTCCGGTCAAACACGTGAATGAATCAGAGGAACCGTCAACTTCCCCTGTGAATGGCAAAGAAAAGAGTTCAGTCCAGAAATGTGAAGTGAATGGAGCTGAGAAGAGCCCGGTTGCTCCTGTGAACGGTGTTGGGGAAGGTCCCACTGGGTCTTCTGGAAAGGAAACGGTGACAAAGAAGGTGGAGTCCGAGAAGCAGAATGACGAGAAGACAGAGGCAAAACCAGAGGAGGGAAAAGATGAATCGAAGCCCGACGCTGAACCAGAGGGCAGTAGACTTTTGGATACAGAGCACTGTTTGTGTGGATGGGTGGGGCACAAACTCTGCACTGATAAACGGGCCACATTAACAGGTGTTACAGAAGGTGGAGGGGAAACTCACCAGAGCAATAGTGTACTGCACTTCAGGGGAAACGTTTGAGCACATTTAGGTTCTCCTTCAATCACACTGTCAAAATGATTATTAACCTTTTTAATTATCCTCCTGTCTGAACAGATGAGGATGATGATGATGACGATGACGACGACGATGAGGAGGAGGATGGAGAGACAAACGGACAGGATAAGGTGAGTTTTAATGCTGGTTTCTTTGACATAGTTGTGAATATTTGATTTTTGACATATTCCCTCTGCACCTTTTTCAGGAAGAGGATGAAGTGGGGAATCTGCAGTTGGCATGGGAGATGTTGGAGGTGGCTAAAGTCATCTACAAAAGGTAAGGGCAACAATGAAAGATGAAGATGACGGTAAGGTCAATACTCAGTCATGTCCACTGACATTTAAAGTGACTAGACAGATTTATTCTGGTCCCTTCATACAAATCCAGACTTCAGGTGGAACAGCTTGAGGATGTGAAGTGACGTTGTCTTTAAGCTATTTATATTTATCCCCACAGAAAGGAAAACCAAGACGACCAGCTGATGGCGGCTCAGACATATCTGAAACTCGGAGAAGTCAGTGCTGAATCGGGTATGTTTCAATCCCCACCCGTCAAACACCAGGTCGTTCTCAACTAATGCTTTCCACTGCTCTGTAATCATACATTGGCCCATCAAAATACTGTGTTCAGTCATTTCAATTCTGATCACCCAAATAGTTGGAACCAGTCTGACACCTTCAATGTTTCATATTTGGTGTAGGTCTGAAAACATTCACTTTAAAAACTCAGACCAGTGACATTTGATAAGTGTGTAAATGTTGAGTTTATCATTGAATATATTTAAATATTGCTTTAATTCACTAATGGTGTTTTCTCTTTTGAAAACTGCTACAGTCTAGCAGAGCTAAATGTGACCCCGTGTGTCCTTTGTCAGGTAACTATCCCCAGGCGCTAGAAGACTTCCAGGAGTGTCTTGCCCTGCAGCTGAAGCACCTGCCTCCCCACAGTCGTCTTCTGGCTGAAACCCACTATCATGTCGCCACTACACTGTGCTACATGGATCAGTACAGCCAGGCCATCCAGCACTACAACAGCTCCATAAAAGTCATCGAGACCCGTCTGGGTGAGTCTTGAATGCCGCCTTATTTTTAGATTAGATACCTTTTGTTAACTGGTAAACTACAGGGGCAATTTTTATATATATAT